CCATTCCTCTTTCCAGGGGACAGTGAGGGTCATGATTTTAGCCTCTGAGCCTCTTAATCTCAGAGTTATGTGATCAGGAGAATCAAAGGTTATTTGAGCTCAAAGCTTTCCCAGGAGGTCCCATCCCATCAAGAATACAGGGCAATCTGGGAGATACAAGAACTCTTGTATGACTTAATGACTGCTGACTGTGCAGCATTACGGTGCCATGAAGGGATGTCTGATTTGACACCCAGTGATTCCCATACCATCAGCCTATTTTTGGGAGACGGAACCAACAGGCTGAGTGATCCCAGAGTGTTCAACTTCCGTGTCAACCATGAAATTCATACATTGGCTGGGCTCGGTGGCTCAGCCTGTAATCCCAGCACTTTGAGAGGCCGAGGTGAATGGATTGCCTGACCCCGCGGGTTTGAGACCCACCTGGGCAACTTGACGAGACAACAAATCAAAAATTAGCCGGGCGTGGTAGCACGCGCCTGTAGTTCCAGCTACTTGGAAGGCTGATGCAGAAGGATTGCCAGAACCCAACAGGTCGAGGCTACAGTGGCCAGGAGCGGCCACTGCTCTCCAGTCTGGGTGACAGAGTGAGACTCCAACTCAAAAAAAAAAAAAAAAGAAATTCATACATTGGTCCCCTATGTCCTGCTGATCATAGGCTCCTGGGGACCGAAAGATAGGAGGGAGCCCAGTCTGGCCTATTCTTGTTACAGTCCTTCCATAGAGGCCAGACTCATAAAGCCATTAGGAGCTGGTTGGTCTTATTGATAAGTGGAGCCTTGTAGGTCATTTTTCTGTTGGGCTTCCTCATCAGCTATTTGTTGGGGGCATTCACTCTTCCAGTGGCCTTCTTGGTAACAATAGGCACACTGGTTTCTCCCGAACTTCATAGGGGGTTGTGATGTCCCTTGTATAGGCTGATAGATATGGTTCAGCAACCCTGGGCAGGCTGAGGCAGTCCAGGCCTCACTCTGGGAAACTGCTGACCTGGCTGCCCTCTTCCCCAACTTCTGTCTCTGTTTCCGCCTGATGAGTCTTTTATTTGGTGCCCTGAAATGGCAGCAGCAAACATAGCCATTTTCTTTTTCTGCATTCAGTCTGCCTCTTGTTGGGCCTCTTTATCTCAGTTAATGAACACTTGATTGGCAACGTCTAGCAGCTGTCTAATATTCATTCTAGCAAAGCCCTCTAGTTTTTGTAGCTTTTGTCGGATATCCCTCTGGGACTGTCTGACAAAAGTTCGTTTACCAAACGCTGATTTTCAGTTGCCTCTGGATCAAAGGGGGTGTATAGCCAAAAGGCTTCACAGAGTCTCTCATAGAATTGGTTTGGGCTCTCATCAGCTCCCTGGAACACCTCAGAGACCTTGCTCATATTTATGGCCTTTTTCCCTCATTCTCTCATACCACCTAGGAGGGCCTCCTGATACCATTCAAGCATTTGCAGCCCCTGGTTACTGATGTGATCCCAATGGGAGTCCTCCTCAGGGAACTGAATTTGGGCATATGCCTGGGCATTGAGTGCTCCAGCTGGAGCATGTTCCTATAGCCATTTCATAGCCCCCTGTGTAATTCTTTGATGTGCCTCAGTATTGAATAGCATCAGGAGGAGTTGGTGGCAGTCCGCCCAGGCTGGCCTCTGGGTCTGGATAATGAACTGTATTATAAGTCAATCATAGCCTGAGGCTTTTCTGTGAAGGACAGCGTATGATTTTTCCAATTCAGGAGGTCTGTGGAGGTGAAAGGCTGGTAAACAAATGTGCATTGTCCACCTTGGATCTGGCCTTCTTGATCATAATAAAGAAGTCCCTTAGTCTCCCTCAGTGGCATCTGGAAGTCACCACGACATTCCCCTGATGTGAAGTTAGACATACATTCTGGCAGCTGCTTTCGGGGTGGGGCGTCAGAACAGGTGGTTCAGATGTGGCCTCTGATTGTTTAAGAGAAATACTAGGCTTAGGGGTGCATGCCAATTGTGAGCCTCTAACAATGATTGGTGCTGTAGGAGCAGGAAACAATGGTGGGCATACTCGAGGATAAGATAGTGAAATTTCCATTTCATCAGCCAGCACTGGCTTATCAGCTAATTCATCAGACTCTAATGGACATTTTCCTGGGCTATTTTGAGGGCTACCATAATTTTGTAATTGTCTTCCTAGCAAGCTTTTAGCCAAGAGGGTTATGCAAGGACCACATCCTGCCAACACGCCTGGCTAATTTTTTGATTTATTATAGAGATGAGGTCTCGCCAAGTTGCCCAAGCGGGTCTCAAACCCGCAGGCTCAGGCAGTCCACTCACCTCGGCCTTCCAAAGTGCGGGATTACAGGCAGTGCCACCGAGCCCAGCAAAGGGTTCATCTTGAGACAGTGTTTCCTTCCATTGCCCTTTGGTCCTATCCATCAGACTGGAGACTACTAGCAGACTCCAGGAGGTGATCAAGCTCCCCTTATGCCATCTACTGGCAGGTCTATGCAAAGGCTCTTGTTCCTACCCTTCCCATCGGGCATTGCTCCTCATGCCAGTTCTTGTGCCTCCTTTCAGGTTCCTGTGCTTTCAAGATCCAAGCCTCAATGTGCTGGGAGGGGCCTCCCTCCTACGGATCAAAAGGTCTGCTGCACACCAGGCGAGATTGCCTCTCCTATCGCCCTGGGGATCATACCCCAATGACAAAGGTGGTGGAACACACTGTCTCTAAACTCTCTGTTTCCCAGCCAATGCACCAAGAAATTTTGCAGGAAAACAGAGAGACTGAGACACCAAGGCTATTTTAGGAAGCAGCATTTTATTGGCACTGGTGCAACTCAGCAGGCTAATGCTCCAAGGCTGAGCAACCTGGAGAAAGAAGAGAAGGGTTTTATATGTTAGTTTAGGCAAGGGAAGGGGTTGGGTTGTATGGCTATACATTTATCTTTGGAATTTGCAAGGTTGTATTCAGCAAAAACAGATTTTCAAAGAACAAATTGTTTCCAGGATATACATGACAAGCAGAGATTGTAAACCAATAACTTCACAAAGAGGATGCGGGGGTAAGGTTATGAATCTATAACTATCTTGCACTTACAGGAAAGTGGCTTGTGGCTACTTGGTTTTTCTCACATCCCATGTCTAGCAGGTTTGGAGCTTGCAGGTTGTTTTTTTAAAAAGAATAATTTTAACATTTTTTTTTAGCCCTTCTCTGCCATGGAAGAAGGCATGTTCTGGGCATAAAATATCAAATGTGGCTGGACATGGCGACTCAAGCCTATGATCCCAGCACTTTGGGAGGCCAAAGCAAGAGGATTGCCTGAGCGCACGTGTTCAAGACCAGCCTGGGCAACTTGGTGAGACCTCATTTCTACAATAAATCAAAAAATTAGCCGGGCATGGTAGCATGTGCCTGTCGTTCTGGCTACTTGGAAGGCTGAGGCAAAAGGATCACCTGAGCCCAGCAGGTCAAGGCTGCAGTGGTCGGGAGCATGCCACTGCACTCCAGCCTGGGTGACACAGTGAGACTTCAACTCAAAAAAAAAAAAAATTCGAATGTGTTTGCCATCACTTTTTTTTTTCTGAGTCATGGTGTCACTCTGTCACCCAGGTTGGAGTGCAGTGGTACAAACATGGTTCACTCCAGCCTTGATCTGGCCTTCCAAATAGCTGGGACTATAGGCACATTCTACCAATCCAGCTAATATTTTGATTTTTCCTACAGATGAGTTCTCGCTATAATCCCCATGTGGTCTTGAACACCTGGACTCAAGCAGTCCTCCCATCTCAGCCTCTCAAAGTGTTGGGATTACAGGTGTAAGTCTCTGTACCTGACCAGTCATCACTTTTTTTTAACTGAGGGAAAAGGCTCATGAGGCAGCACAGAATATAGATTCAGTCATTTTTGTGGTGGGTTCCAGTTTCACTATTTACGAGCTAGCTCTGGAAAGAATTATTTGGTCTCTGTTCCCTCATAGAAAAGGTTGTGGTTTCATAAGCAGTTGGGAGGACTCAATAAGACAATGAATATAAAGTGTTAACACAGTGCCTGGCACAGAGTGAATGATGTTAATGTTATATTTGCTGTGTCTTTAGAGAGAAATGACTACCACATTGAAAGTTGGGGGAGGCAGGACTGGCAGTAGTGGGATACTGCCGGGGGGGCACACCTCATCAACAAGGGTACCTGCATAATGAACATCTGTATACTTAATCCTGAATTGTACCCACATCTTTAAAATAAAAAAATTTTAAAACAAAGTTCTGTTACCTGAGAGATGTTCCTAGCAATTGTCAGTAGGCAATATATCAACTTCAGTAAAATTGTTCAGACAAAAAAAATCAAATGAGGAAACAACTACTGCCAATATGGACTTAGCACGGTGCCAGGGGCCTTGTGTCTAGGTTGCCTTCCCATTCCCCAGTCAGTCAGGCTGAGAGTAGGAGATCTCCCTGGATCAGGTTTAGCCCCTTCCAGAGAGCCCCTAAATATTAGGAGTCCCAGTCATTAGGTCACATAAAACCTAAAGTATCCCTCATCTGAAAATAGGCATTTAAGTACTTTTGTGTTAAAATCTGCTCGTTTCATGAATACACTTCACAGGGCAAATTAAAACAACACATCATATAATAGCTTTCTTAACATAATGTGTAGTTATGATTGGGATATAAAATTCTCAAATAGCAATATATATGCATATCTAGATAGTTTGTATGTCAAACAAAATAGATGGATGATGGCATTGCCTAAAAACAGGCAACTGAACAGCTGGTCCTAGAAAACAAGACATTGATAGACATAATTCATAATAAAATTTAATTTTAGTTATTTCATTAAATGTGATGTGGAAAAATAGTAGTATTCTTGTATATAGAATTGTAAATGTATATGTAGTCAATTACTAAAATAAAGTACAGGAAAATCCTTATTCCCATATTAGTACATTTAAAGATTACAGAATTTTGGTTAGGGGCATTGGGGAAAAAACACTTCACCTTTGCTACAGTGAGACACTTCTTGCCCAGTGCATCAGATTTTAGCTCTCTTGAACTTCTTCCTTCCACGATTCATTTCCTGCCTCTGGTTCTCCATGTCTTTTGTCTAAATCTTGTTCTGGTACAGCTGCTTCAGGGGCTTCTTCTTGGTAATCTTGTGAGCACTGTGATATGTCCTTTCCAGCACTGATACTGGCAACAATAGTTAAACCTAAAACCAATGCTATAAGAAATATGGGGATTATGTATACTAGCTGGCCAAGGTTCTTATTTTCATTATTGCTGTCACCACCTCTTTGGGCATTAGGACTACCGACACTATGACTTCTACTTTCATCTATACTTGAAATTTCATCACCTGGCTTCCTAGCAGGGCCACTGTCCACACTACCCCCATTTCCTGGATTTTTGCAGTCAGGAGGGGCAAAACCAAACTCACAATGGCAGTGCCTCAAATTGTTGCAAACCCCTCTGGCGTGACACACGTCCTCTGGCAGGCAGTCGTGCTGGAGTACAGAGTGGTGAGTGCAGGAGTGATTCATGCAGACTTTGTTTGGGGCACAAGAGGTGCCAGCCTGCACGTCTCCGGCATCAGGGATATCAGTACCGTCATGGGCATCCATGCTCCAGCACCAGTCATCACCATGAGCAACCTGGATCAACGTGTGCTGGGATTTGATTGGTGGTAGGTATTGGATACCTGTACAGATGAGTTTCCCACAAAATATATTATCACCTGAACATGGAACATATTCTTGCTGAGCTGCAGTGGGACGGCCACAGTTTCCAAACCGGTCCCCTCTGGTGTTCCTTGACACGTAACACTCTTCTGGGGCAGATCTTGCACGGTCCCCATATATATTCATGCATTGCTTATCAGGGTCCATACACTGACCTCTAGCGCAACGGTGAATTCTCTCACACAATGTGCCATCTTGCTTGTAGGTGTCTGCAGGGCATTCTGCAGAACGGCCATCACAATATTCCGGGAGGTCACACTCATCTCCAATAGGACGGCATAAAAATCCCTTCGTTTTGAACTTGCAGTCCAGGCAGCAGAGTCCACTACCACATTCAGCATTCCCCTTCAGATTACACGTTGGTTCACAGCAAGGGTCAAGGTCACAGGCAGAACCACAGTCGCACTGCTCCGTGTCCTCCAGCACACCGTTTCCGCAGCGGGAATCCCTTCGCTTGCGGCCTTTGTGCCCCGGCTTGTTAAACAGGCAGGCCCCCTTGTGTTCCTGAAGGAACCGGTGGAAGTAGTGAGAGCTGCAGTTGCTGAATCTGCTCTCTTTAGTGAAATTTTCGTGCATGAGGCAAAAGGGCTTATCTTTACAGAAGCAGGCCGAGTGGTCGTGCTGAATCCCCAGGTTGTGCCCGAGCTCATGGACCATGAGCGCTGCTGATAGGAGGACATCTTCCTGATGGAAGGATTCGACAGCTGCCGCAAAACCGCTTGAGCAGGCACCGCCGAGAAACCCCTGGCCCATACTCTGTCCAGGATGACGCCCAACGATCAAGTGGGCAACATCATGCTTCACACGATAAAGGCGCTTCTCTTGTCTCCAGTTGTTGAAATTCTTGAGTGTAACTTGCAAGTCCACTGGGACCTCTATCAGGTCCCGCTCGGTCCAGATCTCCATTCCAGCCAGCATCACCTCCGTGTTGATTCCCCTGGTGAAGCTGTTGGCCAGAGCAATGATGTCCACTACTCTCTGGACTGTCCCGTTGACGGTACTGCCCCACGTCTGGAACTGCTGGTTGTTGACCACCACGAGCATCTCCACGTACTTGGTGTGTGCCCACAAGGAGGACGGCGCCTGCCGATTATGAGGCTTCCTGCGCCCTTGGTGCCAGCTGGTGGACACCACTCGGCTGTCTCTGGAAGCGACACTACAGGAGGCTTGCGCTTCACGTGCCGTGGTGTATATCACATGTTCGAACTGTTTGGAGGAGTCCATGGGCTCGATGCCATAGGAGGTTCCCTCCTTACTCAGGATGCCCCTGAGGCCTGCACAGGTGTTGACAGACACAAACGAACCTGGCACTCCTTCTATGTAGCCTTCATAGTGACAGTCACGTGAGATCAAGGAAACATCTTGCCCCAGGATGCCATTGTGGTAAATGTAGACTGGAAAGTGACTCACAAAATAGTCTCTCTTCACCTGCAGGTGAACCAGGTGCTTCTGGCCATGCAGAAATAGCATATAGGACGCCTTTTCCACTAGGTCTTCATTTTCCCTGACCGTCAGACTTTTTGGGATGACTATTTCATAAGAAGGGTAATGTACCGATGACATGTCACCGTATATGCTTGGGAGAAAAATCATCCCCAAGAGCAACATGGTCACCAACCTGACACTTGAAAGACTTGGAATTATGTCTAGCCACAGACCCTTCGTCTGGGGAGTCCATATTGGAAGCAGTCTCTTATCCTCATACAAAACCACATGGGATTTCTGTAGAAAAGACAGGAAAGAGGCTGACATGGCCTTATTGAATCAGTTGGTGACACAGCCCGTGTCCATCAGCAACATCTGTCTCACACAAACAGGCCCTCAGATAAAGGTACTAACCCCAGACCTACACTGGCTGTGTAAAGGATGGCTACTTCCCACCTCTGAAAGATGAATGTTCTGCCTGATTCTCTACCTAGTCTCTCAGATGCATCTGATATCTTTCAGACATTTTCCATCCTTGATGATTTTCAGCATCAGCTACTCTGCTCCTTGACTAAGTCCTTTAGACATCATGCGGGAGTGGATGTATCCTCAAAAGAACTGCAGACTCTGTACTACAGGGTTATACCTTGAGAGAAAAAACTAAATCTTCATGCCTTTCTCAACTGTACTGTGCAGAACATTGCCTCTCCAACCCCTCCTGTTGACAGTTACTCAACTAATTCCAAATGTTCCAGACCAAGGAGCATGGAGATGTCTCTGCCAGGCACACTCCATTGCCCATTTGCTCTCTTCTGAAACTCTTGCTCTGAGCATTTGAACACCTTTACCCACGGTGATCTTTTCTGCCTAATAAGGCATTATAGACATAATGTGTGCATCTCAGGGGCCCATCTGTTAGATAAGGCAAGTGAGGAAGCTGTCCTGAGCCCCAGCATAGACCTCAGTGGTCTGGTGTCCCATGGGACACAGGAAAATAGGCCTATTTTTTTCAAACATTCTCAAGATTCTGTTTCTGAGTTGTGATTGTAATACTGTCCGAAAGTGTATACGAGAGATGCTAACAGAGCAGTCTTCTATTATATGTGATAATGATAGGCATGTTGATTGGTATCTCCAGGAATACACTTCCGTAGGAATGACCCTTCATACTTGTATCCTCAGCTTATGCCTGTTGAAAAATAGGTATCCTGCCGGGCTCGGTGGCTCAGCCTGTAATCCCGCGCCTTTGGGAGGCTGAGGTGAG